GGAAATGACTGCATGCCGGGCCTGATGTGGGGTCATCAGAAAGACCGTGAGGCCGCGGGCTCAAGTCACACCTGTGAAGTCACGGGCCTCTGTCCTTGGTGCCTAGAGCACCTGTGTCCTTCCCCACCCCCAGTGTTCATGGCTGCAGCCAGCAGAATGGGGTTAGTAACATGGCGTGAATGTGCGGAAGGATGAGACAGTGGGTGTAAATCACCCAGCACAGTAGATTCTCTCACAGCACTCCCTCATCCCCTCCCACCTCTGTTAGGCTAACCTTCTCTCTCTCATCCTTTGAGCAAAATGCACTTGCATGTGCTCCAAGACCCAGGGTGCCTGGCATCAAAGTTCTGAGGTGCAGACCCCACGGGTCCTTGAAGGGACTGCCTCCCTTGGGGAGGCCTCCCTGCTCTGGCAGGACATAGGATGGGTAGAAGAAGGCAAGAGTTGCTGTCCTCCAGGAACCTGTATTATAATATTAGTGGAGGGCTAGACACACAGTAGGTGCTCAATAAATGTTTGTTCCTTTCCTTCCCCCTAGGTGTATTTTACTTCTTTTATAGCAGGTTATACTTTGTATCTTCTACAGTACTTGATAATGTCCTTGGAAAATGTATATGGCAGTAGAACAAAAGTGACTTATTTACATGCATATGAGCACTGGAGAACAGGAATGAGCAAGATAAAGGTATATTAGATCAGGGGAAAGAGAAAGAAAAATGCGGGGAAACAAGGCCCCTACGCATTAAGGTCAGAAGGTGAGATTTAATACCTTACATGCAACTTTTTTATGTAATCTCCTATTCATCTAGAAATTCGAGGAGCCCTAGGAAGGCCAGACATGGCTTGAGTGAAATGTGTTCTATCACTGAAGCCCACCACCAGAGCAGACGGGGCTCCCATTTTCTGTCTCAGCTAGATAATTGTTGATAGAATTTAGAGGCCACCCACAATGGCCAACGGTTTTAGACGGACACAGCTAAACAAGCAGGTGAATCACAGGCTGTCTGACTTAACAATGGGGAATTTAGTGCAATTCCGTAAATATCTACTGGGAGCTTACTACGTGCCACGAGGTAGGAGATACAAGAATGGCCAAATCATGGGCCCTGCCTTCAAATGACTCACAGTTTAGCGTTTTTGTTTGTTTCTTCATTTAAAATTCTCCCCACTTCTCATATCTGCAAGTAATCAGGGAATGCAAAGGCCTTCCCAGCTTAGCATGGTTGCTCCTAGTCCATAGAAAAGTAGGAAAAGGTACAAGAAAATAGTGACTATAAGATATAAAAATGTGAGGACGTTAGATCTACCTCATTAAGGCTACATGCACACACGCACACATCACTGAACATTGAAGCGTTTTGTTCCAGGTATCAGCTAGCCATCCATGGGAGACTGTTCACACTCACACAGCAGTTTCCTTAGTTTGGCCACCAACCTGGGGTGGTGTTACATAATGTTTTGCATAGGGCACCTTTTACTATCTGAGAGAGACACTGTGGCAACACACTGCACCTTTCTGAACCTCTGTGTTACCTTTTACAAACAAGAGGTAAAACTCCATTTTGCAGGCTGGCTACTAAGAGAGGCTAGTTAATGACTGCTTTCAGACTCCAAAGGAGAACACTGAGCTACTAAGAGAGTCCCTGCTTTACAAAGGTATGAAGTGAGATGTATATAAAGCACCTACAATAACATCCAGAACAACAGTGTTAGCCTTCTTTGGATCACCATTGTTGCTGCTGTTGATTCTGCGGTTACAATTCAACCTGCGCTTCTCTAACCGAGTGACCGTCCAAATCCAGGCCTTCCCAGCAGAGCCCGAGTTCCTTTGGTGCCACTGGTCATCTAGCCCACACGTTCTCCCCAGCACCTTTCCCCCAAGAGGGGATTTGACCGGGCTCTCACCTTGACCCAATCTCTCACTTTCTAGGACACACATTCCTTTACTGTACCCAGAACTATCAGTGCTGCTCCACAACAGGCCACCACCGAGCACAGAAGAACCATCATACCAGTGCTGCGCCTATTGGTAGCAACACCATTTCGATACCAAAGGCTCTGGTAAGGAGTGTCCTTGTAAAAGTAGAAGTAACTATTAAATAACCATGGCAGAGTCACGGAAATGTGTTTGAAATTAAAATTTAAAAGCAACGCGTGAGAAAATCAACAGCAGACCCCACAGAAAGTCATCAGCCATCTAAATAAAAGTGGAAACACCCAAACGGACAGCTCTGATTTATCAAGTCTAACGGCCTCTGGAATTTGCATGAGAATTTCCAGAAGTGTCTTTCTCCATTACTCAGCTGACCCTTAAAACTACAGGAAGCTCCCAGAGCACGTTAATATTTGTGATTTACAACGCACGTATGTCACAGGCCCCTTTGCAAGGACAAAGAAAGTACAGTGGAGAAATGCCCTGACCTTGCTTTACTTTTTCCTTTTCCATAGCACTGACTACCCTCTAACAGAGTATAGGATTTATGTGTGTCTTTTTTTCTCTGTCTCCCTACATTAAAAGGTAAACTCTTCGAAGTAGGGATCTTCTTTTCATTCACCCATGTATGCACATCCCTGAGAATACTCCTCGGCACATAGTAGGTACTCAATGAATAGTGGCTGAATGAAGAAATGGACGAAAACTTAAAGAGTAGTCCTGGTGAAGTGACCTAACCTCCCCGAATCCTCATCACCTCATCTGTAAAGTGCGGATAATACTCTATAACTAACAGATGGACAGCAAGAATTCAATGAGAAAAATATATGGGAAGCACTTCGCACAGTGTCTGGCAATTAGTGCCCGACAAATGGTAGCAATAAGGAATACAATTCCTCAGAGCTGAATATTTATCTTCAAAGTTTATAAAAAAAAAAACAAAACCCCACTTCTGCATCCATCCCAAGTCAGCCACGAATGAGCAGTAAACAAAGGGCCGAGAGAGGAAGAACTGGAGATCTTCAGCTGGTGCTCAACCTGCTCTCCCATTGGGCTCATCAGAGCGCCAGAAGGAGAAAGTGAGAATACTCCTTAATAATCATCCAGAACAGAGCCAGCAAAGTACGGCTCACGAACTAGAAACTTACTTTGACAAATAAAGTTTTATTGGAACTCAGCCAAACTCATTTGTTCACATATCGTGTGAGGTGGTTTTCACAGTACCATGGCAAAATGAAAGAGTTGCCAGAGCCCATACTGGCCCACCATCTTTACTATCTGGACCTTTAATTAAAAAAAATTTGTGGAATGACTACCAGCTGAGGAAACGGGGTCCCAGGGAGCAAGCAGATGAGCCATACCCAAGGTCAGCCTGCATATTTAGGCTCTGCAGCTTCGAGACCAGTGGCTCACGCACCCCTTCAGAAGCCCGAAGTGTAGCTAATAAGCCTTCAGTCACAGGGCCAGTCTGCACGATGACAACCCTAAACACAGTTTGACTTCCCCGCTGGAGAGCAAAGAACGGCCACTTTACCCTCGAAGGGGAGAGATACCACCAAGAGGAACTGGAAAGAACATGGGCCTGGCCACCGTGCCATGCGGGGGGGCAGTTCCCAGCTCTGCACAAGGTCGGATATTTGGCCTTGTGCAAGTGCCTTCACTTCTCTGGGTCTCAGGTTCCCCATCTGTTTAATGGGAGCAATCCTACTTCCTTAGTTGAGTCCTTAGGGGATTGAAAGGAAAGAGACCAAGTATGTCAAAGCAGCTAGCAAAGAAAATGCTACCTCTTTACCTCCTTAAAGACCAAAATTGATAAAAATGATTCATTAAGGGAAAGATATTACATTTCTGAATTTACCAGATCTGCTTGAAAACATTCATGGTCTCACTTTTCAGGGTAATAGGGACATCCTCCCCCCCTCACCCCCAGTCATTAATGTCATGACCTGTCATGTCACCCCCTGTCAAAATGATCTTCCAGAGGCAGCTTCCTGAGAGAATCAGTTTCTAAAAATATGTTGGTTTTGAGCTATAAATTGATTCTTTATTGTGATAAATTAAAATCCAATATCATCCAACAAGACGCTAAACATACAGAGACCCAATTTTTCCCCCTTAGATGTTCAGTCTCTTTGATACGAAAATGGATCTGGGGCTGCTGTCAGGCACCTGGAGCCTGAACGCTGAAGCGAGGGAGCAGAGAGCATGGAGATGGTATAGAGAGAACAGACTGTAAGAGGAGAGAAAGGCAAAATAAGGAAGCGGAGGGAAGAGGACACTTCCTATTTCCTGTTTTGTGAGCATCAGAGAGTGACTCTTTGGGAGCCCCAAGGGGTGTTCAATCCTGAGCGCCTTGCATGTGATTTGCTGGGAGAGGTCAGGCATCACTTCTCTTTAAGGTTCTAGGTTTCTTCACTTAAATATGAGTAGGTTAGTCACTGCACAAGGCACCTTCCACCCAGGATATCCTAGGACTGGGTTAACTCTGAACCAGCTCCATTGTTCTTTCCCGGACTTACCGTTTACATGGCAAAATGAGCATCTCTGGCTCCAAGATCTGGCCCAGATAATTAGCATTTCATTGTAAGTTGACTTATTATTTCCTGGTACCTTCCTTCCTTCTCTTTTGTTCTACCCTTCCCTGACTGCCTTCCCTCCTCCCTTCAGTGTCCAACTAGCATTTCTGTCACATGCCAGGGCCTATGTGAGACCTTGCAGATAGGCACCTCATGGAGTGTGTCTTCTGATGGGAGCATGACGGTCTGCTATGATAAAGGAGAGCAGAGGATGCTGTAGGAGCATTACAAAAGGATTTCTGCATTCTGCTAAGAGGACATAAGAAGGTCTGTACCAAAGAAGGGACAACATAGGTAATGATATATTGTTATTTAACATCTAGAGCTTTGTATATACTAGGCACTATTCTAAGTCTTAAGGGATTAAAGTAAATCCTCATTTAATCTTGCACCAACCCTAAGACATAGGTATTTTTATTATTCCCATTTACAGATTGAGTAAAAGAGGCACAAGGTCATTAAGAAAAATTGCTTTACGATCACACAACTGGTCAAGAGTAGATCCAAGATGGTCTGGATCTCGAATCCATGTTCCTTCCATTCCATCCACTCTCTGGTGCCTTTATCAGACTGGCGAGGAGGGTGGGCTGTGGATTCTGACAGAGTCGACAGGAATCCTGCATGCAGGAGGAAATTGGTAAAGCAAGTAAAGCACTTGGTTGAAGGATGCACTTTGCCCAGAGAAAGGTCTTGATAAATTTAAGTGTGTTGTACGGCTGTTGGTATTACTGTGGACATTACAAGCCCCTGAAAAATGAGGTATTTACTGTCTGAAACAGAGCAAAGGACATTCAGAGTGGAGGGGCTGCCTTGAGAAAAATCACAAAAGCTGGGCACTGCGTGGTTTGCACAGGAAATGGCAAGATGTGGTAGCCCCAGCATTCTGCTCATCCATTGATGATACTCCCAGATCTGCCACATCCAGCTGGGCAGGGTGTGTACTGCACAGCTTCCAGGGGAATGAGACACACTATAGTCATCAAAAATATATATACTTATTGCAATAATTTCCCAGCAAATGGCAATGAGTCTTAAAGAAAGGGACCCATTCCTGATTTGCATAAAGGCATCTTAAGAACTAAGGGTGGCCTTATAATCCCTGTACCTACTTCTCTGTACCCTGAATAGTATCTGAGCTATAATGTGCATGGTTCAACCAAAACCCTTTGGTCTGACATTCCAGGCCTTACAATCTGGCCCCTGCCTACCTTCTCAGTTTTCTCTTTCACTGATAGCAATTACTCATCCTTAGATCCAGAAGAATAGACATCTCAGTCTTCCCCATGCCTGCCTTCCTTCATGATTTTCCCACTACACAGGCTTAGTAAACACTCCCTATAATTCCCTTTGCCTGGACACTGGTTTTCTAACACCCCCAATGTCAAATCTTGTCCACTTTTCAAGATTTTGCCCTTTCTTCCTAAATCATTCCATATTTTTTCAGATGGAAGAAACATTTTTTCTTTTAAACTCTAGTGATAATTTTCATCTTTCTCTTATTATATTAATTATTCTTGCCTTGAGCTTTTAGTTATTTATGTCTGTCTTACCTCCAACACCCTAAGTTCCTCAAAGGAAAGGCTGGTTCATCTCTATCCACCAAGTAGAATGCCCCTTTCACTTAATAAGCACTTGTGGAATGAATGAATGAATGAATGAATGAACCAATGAAAATGGTGCCCTGGTCTAGACAGGGGTTCTTAATCTTTTCTGACCAAACACCTTCTTTTTATAACAAATATCTTGTAATTCTTCCTTTATTGCCTGCAAATGATTATATCATCCACCTACACACATAAAGTTCAAGCACACCAAAATGTCCTAATTATAACATAAAGAAATAAAAGATGATTTCGGATGAAAAACGTGAATGTCTACGTATAAACACTTAGTCACAACTACAACTGAAGAACCTAAGGACATGGCTATATGTTTACATGTTCTTTTTTTTTTTCTTTTTTTAAGATTTTATTTATTCATTTGACAGAGAGAGAGACAGTGAGAGAGGGAACACAAGCAGGGGGAGTGGGAGAGGGAGAAGCAGGCTTCCCGCTGAGCAGGGAGCCCGATGTGGGGCTCGATCCCAGGACTCTGGGATCATGACCCGAGCCGAAGGCAGACGCTTAACGACTGAGCCACCCAGGCGCCCCTGTTTACATGTTCTTATAATGAATAAATTGGGGTTTAAGAAGTGCTCAATCCAACCTTGCAGATGCTCTTTTCCCTATATCGGACATTTTTATGGATGGGCCAAATGAGTAGAGTGATAGTGAGTATGACAAGTACCACGAAAGTGGTACACCAGCGCCATGGTGGTAACTCAAATATGAAGAGCATCACGTGGTATGGTCTTCCAAAATGATGAACAGCTCTTGATGGGGATCCAACAAAACAAAGTACTCCTTTCTTATAGTTCAGTTGCATTTCTGGAAAACTCAGTATTATCGATATACATTGCTTATATGCAGAGTTAGGTTTTAGATTCAGTTCATTATAAATAGATTTTTCTATCTACGTGAATGTCTAGTAAGACATTTGAAAGTCGTGTAGCACAGGAAACACTTTTGTTGTGTGTGACCATCCTATACTCCGTAGAATGTCTGGCATCCTTGGCCCCTAATAAATTCCTGCGTTAGGACCCTCTCCCCCAAAAGTTGTAACCACTTAATGCCGACATAAAGTTCCAAAACACCCAGTATAGGGAAAGAATCAGTGAAGTGAAGAATCAAGCTCGGGCGCTATAAAGTGTGAATCTGAATTCAATTCCTACACATAATAGCCTTGGGCAAGCCACTCACCCTCCCTGTACCTTTAGTAGACTCATCTGTAAAAGGCAGCAATAAAACCCTCCAGAACTGCTGAGTGGCCAGTGAGACAGGACACACAAGAGCATACTGGAAACCATACCGTCCTGCCTACAAGCTAGTTCATAAGTAGTCTTGGGAAAATTCTGTGTAGTGTTTCAGTGGCTCCCAACATAACAGGGATGTCCCATAGACTCCCAGGTCCCAGCACTCTGCTCTACGGCCCCTTCTTCTTCTTCGCTGTCTCCCTCCCCAGGCCCACATTCCTTCCTCTTCCTGAACTGCTCTCCCCAAGCCCCACTCAAAACATCCAGTTCAAACCGAAGGAAGAACAGTCCTGTTTTTGATGAGATACAAGTAGAGTGACATCTGGTTTTCACCAAAGAGTACATTATTAAATCAGCCCTGAGATTTAAGTGCAACCATTGCATTTAAAACATCATTAGCCCTCTATGATGAGAGACAGTATTCAATTCTGGGTCGCTCTCCACCACTCCCCTGCTATGCCCTAGTAATTCTGCGTACATCTGCGGATTCTTAATCACTAAGTCAATTTATTTTTTGTGCAGTATTACTGAGCACCTACTACGTGGGAGTCATTGTGCTAACTGGATAGACAACAGTGATGAACAAAAAGATATGGCTTTGCTCATCTGTGTGTTTATAGAAGTGCTCAATAAGTATTTTCTGCAGAGAAGAATGAATACACGTATCTTTCTCTTTAAGACCTCTGTGCATTTGGAAATACTGCTTTTTCTTTCTGGTCTTACTTACCTGGTCCTCTCTAGCTCACTCCTCCACTGCCATGTCAGTGTGCCCTTTTCTGTGAAAACTTCCTGAATATTCTAGCCAAAGCTTGGTCTTGATCCCCTAAGTCCTGACAACTCCATTCGAACCTGGATCTTAGCAACTGTCAGCTCGCTTTGTGAGTCTGGTAAAACCAGACTGTGAACAGCTTGGGGCAAGACCACATCTCATTCATCTCTGAATCCCCAGGAAATGGAGCATCACGTGGCACAGAAGAGGCGTCCGATCTGCTCTTGCCCAACCACATACGGGTTACGTGGCCAATATTCCATCCACAAGACAGTTCTAGTGGTAACTCGACTCCTTGTACCTTCCCTCAGGAAAGGTCATCAGCGTGAAAATGAATAATGGTGACAATAAAATGGAGAGAATACTGAATCTGCTCTAATATATATAAAAGCACATCATTTATAAAATTTGGTATTGCTATGGTCTGAATGTTTATGTCCTCCCCCTTCCAAATTCATATGTTGAAATTCTAGCCCTTAAGGGGATGGTATTAGGAGGTGGGGCATTTGGGAAGGAATCAGATCATGACAGTGGAGCCTTTTGGGATAGGATTAGTGTCTTAATAATAGAGGCTCTAGAAAGCAGCAAAAAGGCACCAGCTAAGAGGAAGTGGGTTCTCCCCGAGACGATGAATTTGCTGGGGCCATGATATCCGACTCCCCACCTCCAGAACTGTGAGAAAGAAATGTTTGTTATTTATAAGCCACCTCCTTTGTGGTATTTTTGTTAGAGCAGCCCAAACAGACTAAGGCAGGTATGTTATTATTAGTGCTATCTTACTAGCATCAAGGCTTCTGGATCAGACTGCCTGGGGTTGAATCTCAGCTCTTGCTACTTAATTTACCGTGGGACTTAATTCGGATTTCAGTTTTCTCGGCTTATATAGTACTACCAGATCAGAGTTGGCTAAACCAAACGAACAAGCAAAATTTACATGTGATTATGGCAACAAGACACTACATCATCTTGAAAAGTTGATGCAGACTACTGCCCTCTGTCTTGAGAAACAGACTTATTGTCAGGGTCCTGCAATATTTATGATTTTTTTATGGCACAAAATTATAGCAATTCTATGGAATAAAACTGCAAATCAAGAGAGAAATCAATGAGTTTCCCTGGAAAGACAGAAGATTTGAAATTGGAAGGTTTGTTCTGAGTCTACAGCCAAGTCAAAGACACTCCCAAAATCTCAGTTTCTTTATCCGCAAAATGAAAATGACGACTTCACTCCTGCCTTAGTACCCACAGGTCTGATTTGAGGACCTAGCAACATTGATATGAAACCACATCTGCTCCTGATTTGCTACAGCTCCTACTATTACCAATAACAATGAGTTTATATATGACATTTTCTGCATTCTCACTGATCCCTTTGACACATTATCAATACCTAGCTGTCTGAAAATGTGAACAGCTTTTCAATATTGATTTATTCCCCGCAACATGCTAATAATAAAACAGAATTTACTCATGTAAAGATTGGGATCAAGAACCCTTTGAAATTCAAGACAAGGTGTAAATTGCTGCAAAGGGTCTCTTTAATTGGGATCAAAACATTTTTGACAGCTTTTGGATTTTAAAATTCTAGCTATTGTCACGTTCTGCAAATGTTTCTTTTTTTGGCTTGAACAAAAATGCAGTCAAGCTTGAGAATACTTTAGATATGATAAACAACAAAAATTTGTCATTCCAAATGACAAAACCTAGTTTTCCATTTCGTTGATATGTAGGACAAAATACTTCACTTAAACTCTTATCCGGCACAATTCAGTTGGTCCCCTGCTGGGCAACAACAAAGGTTTAGTAAACTGTTGTTGCTCATAATCTCCAATGGAGTTTGAAAAACCTCCATTTGTCTGAAGATAAATCACATCAACAGGGATGACTTGAAGGAAGAAACAGAATTTTAAAACTAGTCTCAGGATTCAACTTCGACGTGACTTTGTTTAATACTTCATTCTCTACTTGGCTCCCTTCCACAATTTTCCCGTCATAAGGTTTTGCTCGAATACTCCTAAGTGATGGGGAACTTGCTAGCACAGAAGGTGGTCCATCTAACTGGTAGAAAATTCCTCCTCCTCATAAACCAACACTGCTTCAAAGAATCTCCTATTACCCGATCTTGGTTCTATTTGTTGGGTCATACAGAACAAGTCAGCTCCTTCTGCTACTACACAACTCTTTGGAGAGATGACCACTATTAGTAGGGGCTCTCCTGCTCTCTGTTGTCTCTGCTTCGGGCTTTAAAACATTCAATCCCTTCTACTAGCTTTCCGTAGACTTGTGTTGAGACATAATAACAAGTTCAGGTTGCAGAAGCCAGATGCTACTGGGGCCTAATGTGAATCAAACATAACTGGAGTGAAATAAGCCAAACAGAAAACATCCCACTCTGCCTTCTCCCTGATCCTCCACCAGGGAGCGGACATTTTTTCCACAAAGTCAAATGGTTTTGAGCTCAAACAATGATTTTACTGTTGTTCTCTTTTTTTGTCCAGCTGAAGAATCAAAAATAGCATTAGAGAGTTTGGTGGTATCTTTCTTTTGGGCCAGGTCAGCCGCCCTTGACTGAGGATTTAGATTTAGGTCAAGAATACAAACTATCTCTCCTTATGAGTTAAAATTTAGTGATTGGGATTTTCATGATCTGGGCACAACTTATCTGATGGTGGATTACCTAATGGAACAGCAATGCCCCAAAACATGGCCCCAGGACAAGATAAGGTATCTGACACTCTACCTCACTCCTGTCCCTTTGGTTATATCAGCTGTCACGGTGGCAGGCAGACAACAGAGATGATGATGTAGTATTCGGGCATATAAATCTCTTGGTTAGGCTTGGTCCACATTACTTGGTTCCCTCCAATAAAGATGGTAAGGGGATCAATGACATCCTCACAGTTTCTACAAGCCCACAGCTCTCCGCCTCTTGTGTGTACCTAGGAGCCTAGGAGGCTACACCTGTGTTGAGAAGTCTTGGTTCAAGATAATTTTTAGTCCCCCAATTGTCATAGCCCCCCTCATCAGGACACTCTTTGATTTCCCTGTGTCCTTTTTCAAGTGTGAGGTTCAAGACTGAGCACAAGTCTCCAAACACTAGTCTACCCAGGAGAAGGAAAAACTTCCCTGGCTTCAGAAACTGTATTTTTATTAAGGCAGGAGAGACTTTCATTAGGCTCTTAATCTTGTTGCATTCAAGCTCCTTTACTCCCTGAGCTTGTGCCCTCATTCTAAACTCCCTTTTCCCAAGGCATCCCCAGGTAGGCCGACCTTTCTCGATGACAGAGAGCTCAACTGCCCTGATATTCGGGCCAACGGGAGGCCAAATCCCAGTTTTGCCTCCTACTTGCTGGGTAACCTTTGCAAAGTCACTTATTCTGAGAAGTAACAGGCAGCAAGCTTAAGTGAGAAGACTCACAAGCCAGACCAACCTGGATTCTAATCGGGTCTCCAACCACCGCTTACTTTCAATAAATTACACATACGTTTCTCTCCTCAGTATCTCCAGCTATAAAATGGAGAGGATACTGCCATCTACCTCACAGGGCTGTCGTGAGGATTAACGGAGTTGGTACTTGCAAAGGGTTCACAACAATGCCTGGCACATATTACGTGCTTGATGAAGTTGTTATTTTCCCGTTAAGCCTGCTGTGAGGGCAAAACTGAATCATGTATGTCACGTGATTAATATGCACGTAGTATACAGTAGTACCCCATGAACGGAAATTATTATCACTAGTTCTTTTTTATGGCGGTAAACTTCACGTAGCTGAAAATTTATCATTCTAAGTATTTCTTGGCATACAGTTCAGGGGTGTGAAGTGTATGGACAGCGTTGTGCAGCGCCCCCAGCCATCCATCACGAGCGCCATTTTCCGCTTCCCAAACAGTAACTCCGCACTTACTAAACACTCACTCTTCCTCACACACCCCCCTGCCCCCTGCAGGCCCTCATCACCACCGTTCCACTTTCTGTCTCTCTGAATTTCAGTTCTCTAGATAGGTCATAGAAGTGGAATCGTACAGAATTTGCCTTTTTAGAGCTGGCTTATTTCACTCTGTTAATGTCTTCAAGTTTCCTTTGTGTAGTAGCACATGTCAGAACTTCCTTCCTTTTTGCTGCAGAATAATATTCCACTGGAGGCGGGCACCCCATCTTGTGTATCCGCACATCCGCTAATGGACGCTTGGGTGGCTTCCACCTTTTGGCTCCTGTGAATAATGCTGCTATGAATCTGGGTAGACAAATACCTGTCCTATTACTAATTATTCAGAAATACCTTTTCTTCAAAACCCATTTTTACTGTTAAATTATCATCCTCCTACCCGTATGGGGTCCTAATAGGAGTCAGAACAAAGGGGAGAAAATACAATGAAAGTGACTAAGGTTGAGTAACTTGGCTGGTTGAGTCTGGCGTCTACAACGCTTGAAAATTAGGTTGGGAAGTTCAAAGGAGGTGGTATGTGTAAAGGTGTTTTATAAGCTGTAAAACACTGAATGAATAAAAGGAAAAAAACCACACCCATCTGACTCTTGCTCTCTGGACTAAATAGAGCCTAGAACATTTTTCTGTTTTTCCCTTATCATCAATTAACAGGACCACCAATGTCAGGACGGTCCCAGGGATCAATGCTGGAGCTAACTGCTGCTAGGGGGCTGATGAAAACACAATCCACTTCCTTGGCGGGTTCAACAAACACATCAGCCCTGACATTTCCTGGTCATGCAGTGACACATTTTTCTAAGGTTGAAATCTCCATTCTTTTTGATTACAGCAATTGCAAGGTGGCACAGGGTAAACTCCGGAGAGTCTGGAGGCTTTGACCAAGTCAAAAGACATTCATGTGTCTCCCTCTAGGATGCATGTCATTAAAGTTGCCAATAAACAAAGAAATTTAACTTAAACTGTCACATTACCCACTGCGCTTCAAAGCTCATCAATCTCCCGTTAGATTCCTGGGCCTGTGTGACACTTTCATCACAATCACACTGTTAGAAACACTGTGGCCAAGTCAGGGAAGAGCCTGCCTTTGATGGACGATCACAGTTGATCAAGTTTGTCAGTTGCTTCATGTGTTTTTATGCTTGTTTGATATTCCTGCCCAGAGAGTAGAGGCTTTTAAGGGCACATCTGTCAATGGATTCAATTTCACAATGCCATGTGATTCTTTTACTTACCCCTGTCTTCTCATCAAAGATTTTGATACCTCCAAAGGAGATGGTTAAAAAGATTTTCTGTTTGTGTTCTCCTTTGGAACGCGCACCAGCAACAACGCCCTGTTGAAAGGAAGGACATGGTTTTCACTCCTGTGTTTTCATTTGAAGCCCCCCCAGCCATCCAACACGAGCGCCATTTTCTTCTTCCCAAACAGTAACTCCGTACTTACTAAACACTCACTCTTCCTCACACACCCCCCTGCCGGCCCTCATCACCACCGTTCCACTTTCTGTCTCTCTGAATTTCATTTCTCTAGATAGGTCATAGAAGTGGAATCGTACAGAATTTGCCTTTTTATAGCTGGCTTATTTCACTCTGTTAATGTCTTCAAGTTTCCTTTGTGTAGTAGCACACGTCAGAACTTCCTTCCTTTTTGCTGCAGAATAATATTCCATTGGAGGCGGGCACCCCATCTTGTGTGTCCGCACATCCACTAATGAGTGTTTTCATTTGAAGATTCCCTCCAGTCCCAAAGGCATGTCAGATACCATCCACCAATGCCACCAATCATCCACACTGCTCTCCCTTTGCCCCTTCCATGCTTCCCTGCCCGACATGCTTGTCTCTTCTTGATATTCTAGGGTAATGGTTACCCTATCATTATATCTAACACTGTATAAATACCTGAACACTGATTCACATGACTACCCAAGATTTATAGAATGCCTCCTTTGTGCCTAGCTATCTGGCTCAGAAATCAAGACCCCAAGATAAACATGATATGATCCTTTTATTAATATGTTGCTAGGCTTCATACTGTATATGGTTTCAATCTATTAAATAAAGAGGAGTTACAGAATATATTCCTAAATGTGATTTTATCTTTACTTCTGGAAAAAGTTTTCATGGGAATCGATTTTAGAGAGTAGAAAGAAAATAAAAACCATTGCCAGACTGCATGTCTCCCTTTGGTCTGGAAAAATATGATCATCAGAGTTCCATGCTTATAGTTTGCAGTTTTTAAAAAAGATTTTATTTATTTATTTGAGAGAGAGAGAGAGAGAGACAGAGCATGAGAGGGGAGAGGGTCAGAGGGAGAAGCAGACTCCCCGCTGAGCAGGAAGCCCGATGTGGGGCTCGATCCCAGGACCCTGGGATCATGACCTGAGCCGAAGGCAGATGCTCAACAGACTGAGCCACCCAGGCACCCCATGGTTTGCAGTTTTTAACTACACAAGTTTTCTATTTTCCCTTACCCTTTTCGGTAGGAAGGTACCTACCAAATGCATTCCATTTATTTATCAGTGCCTCTGTTTCCCCACTTTTCCAAACTTTTTATAAACCAAAGCTACGTATATGAGCCAGTTAGAAGGTAAAACATCACAAAAGGCATGGGTGTCATCCTGCTCACTGCTCTCTCCTCAGTGCCCAGGACAGTCCCTGGAAGAAAAAGGCACTCTGTCATTCTTGTGAGATGAATGTTTTATCCAGAGCTCTCCCAAAGTTGATATGATGCAAGTTAAGAACAAAGACACTTGCTTTTTAAACTAGCTTCTGGGGTGGCCAGTGACAGGTAAGCATGGGCTTCATATGAGGGTACCACTGAGAGGGTGAGGACATTCCAAGGGATTTATACTCGGGGTGGGGGAGTGTTCCTATCTCTGCATTACGTGTTTTAGAGCTTCCAGCCCCTTCGTTGCTATCAGCCTGTCCTGTGTGCAAAATCAAGCCCAACTATCAGCAGTTATAGTTCTGGGCTTCTAGGAGTAGAAAAGTCAAAAATAATCATGACATCATGTTTCTGGGAGATAAAAGTCATCTGTTCATCTGTCAGAAGAGCATGTTCACAACCTCAGTGCCAGAGAACCAGCGGTGTTAGGAACAGGGATGTCCAGAAGGCACAGGGATGAGGCATCCCCTAGAGGCTGTTTGGTTATCGTCACTTTGGGTACCGGAAATGTTCTGTGCAATCCGGGCGGCTGGCTTATGTTCCTGGCCCTCTGTGATCTTGGGCAAATGACTTAATTCTCACTGTCACTTCCTCAAGTGTAAACACTATCCTTGCATGGGGGAGAGAATTAAATGAAAATTTAGGTCAAGTACCTAGTACGGTGCCTGGAACACTACAGGGATATCATGAAAATTAACTTCTTCTAGTAAATGAATGACTGTCCCTAAAGGTCTGTGCTCTGGTTCCTATTTGGGGACCTACTAGCAGGAAATTCACTCCCTCCTGAGTCACCCATTCATTCTTGAGCGCCACTTACACCCTTGTAGACATACAGAATGTCAGAGCTAGAGAAAATCTTGCAAGTGTCCAGCTGACAGATGAGGAAAATGATGTCTGGGAGGTGGGGGTGGGCAGTGCTGAGGTGGTCCAGGGCACTGGTGGCAAGCTGAGCCTACAACTCAGCTCTCCAGACTCCTGGTGCAGGGAGCACTTAATCCTTTACATGGTGGCTTCTTTCTAGCAAGCCAAAATCTCTCTGGGTAACCCTCCCCAGTGTTGCTCTTTCAGCCCCTCAGGGCTGTCACTCAGTGACCAGAGATCCCTCCTGCAATGCCTGTCCTCTGAATAGTTAAAGAGAAGGACTCACCCCCCAAAGCTAAGTCCTCTGTCCCTGTAACTGCCCTGCTTATTGGGAGGTTTCTAGAGTCCCCACTGTGCAGCTTGCTTTCCCGTGAATTCACTGAGGGGTGATTCTAAGAAACATGGGGAGAATGGCCAAAGTATGCTTTTGTAGCCCCCGGGGGTAATTCTTATTTCTAATGCCATCCTATTGGGGACACTGTCTCCAAACCCTGCCCCCTTTGCACCTCACTCTTTCTCCTTTCTTCCCTTTTCCTCACTGGTCCTTACTGCCATCTGACCTATTTATTTGTTCATTTGGCAACTGTCTGCCTTATGCCCAATAGAACCAAAGCTCATTTGTGCCCGGATCTCTGTTTTATCCATTCTGTGTGCCCAGCATCAAGAATGGAGCCCAGCGTCAAGCAGGCACTTGAAAGGGGAAGTGACTTTCCCTCCTTTTGGGAGTGGGCCCGCCAGACTTTGAACCCTGGGAAACTTCACTTTGAATGCTGGGTTCTTGGCTGGATTTGGAATAAAATACCTGATGCCTGGTACCTCTGCAGTTGAACCTCCAACTTCAGATCTCCAGACATAACACAAAAAGAGAATGAGAAGTAGCTCCATCGTAAACGGAAAGACTGGAGGGACCATATCAAAGGGGCGAGAGCCCTTCCTTCTTAACTCTTAGGAGAGAACATCACCGTCTTGGTGGGGAGAGGGCTGCACCTTCGATCAAGGAGAGACTTCAACGTCTCCATCCCCAAAACAGTCCTCCCAGTCCTTGGCTCTCTGAATTACTGCCCCCTCTAATAGCAGAATGCAGCCGTACACAAAAGAGGATGGAAAGCACACACACGTGTTCCAGGTATGTTTCTGCTTGGGGCTGCTGGTGGTGGCTTTCCATGACAAATGAAAGAGGGAGGGACTCTCCGTGCAGGGCTATCTTTGGGGAAATAAAACTCCAATTTGATCAAGCATGTTTCTCCTGTGAGACAGGACCCTGAGTCAAGCTCTGAAAAATTGCGCTAAGGCCAAGCAAGTTTGCCAGCAGACAGCATGCCTCACGGTCTCATATCCCCACAAGATTATTCACTGCCGGGATGGAGAGCCAGCAGAGGTCCAGGAGACAGCTCGGACTGGGGGGGTCAGAAGATGTGGAGGTAGGTGCCCTTTGGGGCTCAGCGCCTCACATTAGCCACCTCACCAAGTCACTGTTGAAAATCTGGAAAGTACAGTCAAGCATTTTCTTGGGGACCTACTCTTACGTGCTACAGGTTCTCTTCCCTATCATATAATTTAGCCCAGACCATAGTCCTAGAAAGTGAAAATCATCTCCCTTAATTTACATGTAAGGAAACATAAGGCCGGGGGCTGAAGTGACCTCCTGAAACTCAAGGAACTAATAAGACAGAGAGAAAATTGAAACAGTGATCTTTTAGATTTCCACGTTGGGCTTCCTTCTATTACAACCTTCCTTAAGACCTTTTTTTTGGGGGGGGAAACAAAAAAAGACTATACGATATCCTACAGATATGTCCAAATTGTTCTGCAAACAGCCAGGCGCAACCATGAGCTCCCAGACTCCACAGTGAAGGGGAACTTTAATGAAAATAATCACATTTCTTACCAGATATTGAAAACAGTTACGCACATACGGCACTTAGCACAGTGTGTTGCATGTCGGGAGAGCTTGGTGAATGACAGTTATCATTATTACTCGTACTAACATTCATACCATGAAGCAATACCATGTGCCAGGCACGTGGGAAATGACGGACACAGGTATCCCTCAGGGAGTCACACATAGATGGTATCTCCATGAAGGAAGTGATACACAAAGGGTCAGACAGGATTAACTGGCTGCCCTGTCCAGCTCAGGGGTCCCTTGAGGATGAGATAAGGGGAAGCACAGGAAAGGGCTCTGAGAAACCCCACCCAGCATGGTGCATGCACATAATGGGATGGCTGTGATCTCGGTGGATCCTGTAAAGCAGGTAGGAAAACACAAAAGGCCTCAGACATGAATGGCTGAAAACCTACAATGCTATTCCAGAATGTTCCATGATTTAAAAAAAATAAGCTGGTCTCCAATCTCAGCCATCTCACTTATTAGCTATACAAGCTTTGGAAAAAACTCACCCCAAATTTCACTTTTCCCAGTTAAAAAAAAAAAGAATTTAAATATTCTCCTCTATTCTGCTTTGTGCCTAGAGCCTGGTTCCTGTGGAGTGCATTCCCTGGTTCTCTGGGCAAGACAGGCAGGAGATCAGAGGGTGGATGGAGAGAGAAGTCAGGGTATTCTATCCGCATTCTTTCCTTCTTTGTGCTACATCTCTGGCAGGGCCTATATTTTTGCTTGGTGAGGGAGGGAACTTCCTCCTCAATCCTGCTCTCCATGGGCTTCAGTAAATATATTTCCTCCTAGGGTGGTTGCTGCTTTCTACTGTTGTAGGTTCCTGGGAGCTTCATCATCCCTTGCTCCCTTACTTAACCTTACCTACCCTTTCTAAGTGGCTCTTTCATTAAAGTGTCCTCATCTGACCTAGCCAGGGTGGGCTCTGCTTCTTAGAGGACCCCAGCTGACATATTTAGAGCTCTGTAATTAGCCCTCCAGGCATTGTCTCTGGGAGATTTCATCCCCTCTCAGAGTTTCAACCACCACATTTTGCCCAATGTCTCTAAAAGTTGACTACTTTGTAAGTCAATGATGTGCGGGTACTGGGTAGTAACTTACCGGTAAGGGCTTAAAATCTCATTGGGGAACCAAGATAAATTAAATGCAGATTCAAAAAAGAATATAAGTGAGCACTAAACTGTGTCTTATCAAACACTGGGCATCCAGAGATCGAGGTTTAAAATTCTGGGCTTACAACAGGTTAAATGAAGGTTCTGGGGCAAATCCTTTAACTTCTATGAACCTCAGATTTCTTATTTATAAAACAGAGAGGCTAATATCTATCTCACAAGATCAAAAGAGGTGATATATGGGAAAATGCTTATGTTGACTCTAAATTAAAACATGATGATAATGGTGTTTTGCTGGAGGACAGGTGACAGCCTGCTCATACTCGGAATATGAAATCTCCTCTCAAATCTCTATAACCCAAATGAAAACTCTCTCAAATAGGAAAAGGTACCAGCCTCAAAGAGCCTCACAAAGGAAAGGAGATTTCCTTTTTATTTCTCATATGGCCTAATGTGAACAAGTGGGCCCTTTTGCAAGGCTAACAGGCATTTTGTACTTCTCTGCCTCTTTGTTTCCTGGGCAGGTGGCCAAATGGAGAATCGATCATTTATGTTTCTGTTTCCTAAAGAAAAACCACTGGGAGCTGAAATGTCAACATTCTTCTCAGCAACTTGCAAATAATGAAACACAATTGTCTGGGAACCAAGAACCCCTCAATGAGCTCAGTGCATCTGACAGGAGTGTGTTACGGCAGGACAAATTCTCGGGGCTTTGGGGACCTCACAGTTCTGAGGGATGACAGATGGGGCACACGCACAAGGTCAGCAGTCATCACCAGGCCTGGTCCAGCTAGCCTGAGTCAACGTGAATGCGGACAGAGAACCCTTGGGGTGCAGAGGCAGACTCCTGCTCCAAGCCACTTAGACCTCAGCGCTTCCATGAAGGCAGCTGGCCGACAAGGTGCTCTGGGACACGTGCCTGGTGAATGGCTATCTACCAGGATGCTGGGAGAAGAAGCATCAGCTCCTTAGCAGACTTACTTGTGGCTCTGGGTGAGAACCAGGCTGTTGGGAGATTTTTCTTGATGTCCTTTAATTAATATTTGTCAGGAGCAAATCTTCATTTGCCTGGCCTCATACTCAGTAAGGAGGGACTTCAGCAAAATGAAGATCTTGGTCTTCATCCCTATCGCTGACTAGGGTCTCCTTGGGGAAGAAGACATGGCTCTATCTGATGGGAGTCTGGAGGGAGGCTGAGGACTCCAGGCTCAGTCTCTTTTGGGTTCTCTCCGTCATCTGCCCACTCGTAGAGAGGCTGCACTCTGGTCTGATCTCAGTAATGAATCACAGGTCCTACTCTGGGGCCAGACAGGGGCTGGTGGGGATAGGAAGGGATGCAGTTACCCATCTACTCCACAAACTAAGTGGAACAGCCTGTCTCTTCCAAGGATGCTCACTGTGGCCATGTATCCACGTCACCTCCCTCATTCCAGCATTTATCAGTCATAAGGCTGGAATTTAGAATTCCTCCTGTCAGACTTTGTTATCTACTTACCTATCAGATTTGGGCTTAGCAGAAGAAGAGAGCTCATTACTGGATTGCCCTAAAATCTCATAACATTGCTTAATTATAGAAAGAAAGAAAGGAAGGGAGGGAGGGAGGGAGGGAGAGAGAGAGAGAGAGAGAGAAAGAAAGAAAGGAAGGAAGGAATGAAGGAAGGAAGGAAGGAAGGAAGGAAGAAAGAAAGAAAGAAAGAAAGAAAGAAAGAAAGAAAG